GCTGCCGAGGGCACCCACAGGCGCTGCTCCTACCTGGGGAACAGCACGGCCAGCTGGGAGTGCGACGGCTGTGCTGGCCTGGGCACCGGTAAGGGGCAAAGCACCCAGGTGCCCCTGGGCTGGGGCCAGGGCCCAGGCAAGGCCTGGCAGCAGGCGCCCAGGCTGGGCTTGGCAGAGCCTCTCTGCTCCAGCAGACTATCTGCAGCACATAGGCCAGACGGACATAAGAATAAGATCTTATATGTAAAAATATTCATTCAACAACAAGTATACACCACCAGCAACATTTGTCCTTAATATTTATTAATGTACACACTCAATTGAAAAGCAGAAAAATCAGCTGTGTGAAGTAATACAAATCTACCTATTTCCTAAGTCTTCCTTGTTATATATGTACTGTCATAAACTTCTGGTAAACTTTTACTCTGGAAATAATACATTCCAAGTATTTGTAAATGAATCTCAAACAGGATCTCTGTTATGTTAGGCAGCACACAGGTTTTACAGTCTTATAGACATGGAACTGCCTGCTCTTTCTCAACCCCCTTCAGCACTGGGGCCACAAAATAACCCTGTGTTGTCTTTGTTACATGATCAAATTCTCAAATATCTTGCAAAGCAGCGATTCACATTTAAACCATATAGACAAAAAACCCAAGCCTTGGTACAAACAGAATTGACACAATAAATATGTACCAATTTAGAAACAAAGTTTAACAGTCTTTTCCAATACTATTTCCTATTAGATATTTGAGAGACTAGAATCTTGAAAGTAACATTTTTCTGCAACTTCTTCAAAGAAGAAATACAAAATGTTTCTGACCAGTAAGGTAAGGAAGGTTTATGGTTTTGCTTTCACTTTCCTTTTTGCTTCCTTATGTTTCTTCAAAATATTTGAATTTTAATATAACATTATGAAAAGTTTCTAAGTTCACCTCTTTGTCTCAAACACTTTTTTTACGGATGCAGTAAAGTAATTGGTCCTGTACAATACAGGGATCCAGTAATTTACCTGACTGGATATCACAATATAATGTTACATACACTTCTATACTAAAAATTTTTACTTCTCTGGTAATTTTAAATTTTCAAGCCTTTCTAAAGGTCCTGAACTAATTTTTAATGCAAATTAAGCAAATAAGCAGCCACGTTCCCTCTTCATGCTGAGCTTTCAGCTGCACTTAGCAAGTAACAGATGTTAAAATACTCACCTCAAGCAGTAAGTTACGTCTGTCTTCCCAACCATCTTTTTCTTCACTGAGGTCTACTGATCTACAAAATAACTTAGGGCCCTCTGCACAAAACAAAGAACAAATTAATTTGGTTAAACACTTCTGAATATGCTGTGGTTTGTAACATGAGCAACACAGCAATAAAGCCAGAAGGCCTATTCTTCATATTCCTCTCTTACCCCACAACATGGCTGGCTCAAACAGAAGTGTTATTTATTACAGCCTTGTGTACTAAGAAAAGTGAAAGGCAGCAACATTTTCCTTAATATGCTGAAATACAAGTTGCAGTGAAGAGCATCTGTTTCATTAAAAGCTCAGCACCATTATCCCACATCTCCCAAGAAAATTTATGCCTGCTAAGGATTCAGAGCTCAATTTTAATGGGCTCAATTTTATTCAGGTAAGCTGGAAGATTACACTACACAAACTGTATTAACACAGTAACTTCTGCACATACATTTAATGATAGTTATGTAACATGTCTCAGGAAACAAACATTATTTAAGGCTGTCCTGACAATTTATTGTATAAAATTTCCAAAGCAATTGTTTTGGTGGCCTGTAGGTTGGGGTTTTTTTAATTTCTTTGTTTTGTTGTTGTTTTCTTTGGTTTTATCTATGAAATTTGTTACATTGACAAGAAAAAACACCACATTATTTAGTATGAAGAACCATATGGACATACGTGGCTGATAAGAATATTCAATATTTTTATATTAATTAATGTTCAGCATTTATTTTACCAGGACTTTCTCAAGGGATGTGATACCAGAATTCATACCACAAGTAAAGATGGAAATCTGCAATTTTATTTTTTTTATTTAAATCTCTCATCTGTGTTTTAACTACAAAACATTAATAACTAAGCAGTATTTTTTTCCTCATTTAATTTCAGTAAGAGTTAAAAAAAAAGTTCTGTTATACCTCTTAGTCGCTCATCATCTTTGGAGAAGAAGAAAAATCTAGCACTTTCTGTCTGTGGTAAAGAGAAAAACCTAGACAAACACAAAGGAATTTTAGCATCATGAAAGTTACTGTCAAATTCCATTAACACATGTTAAATTACATATGTAATGCTTCAGAGAAGTAGCATGCATTAAAGAACATTACTCCATAGTAAGCAAATATAAAATACAGCCTTCTATAAAAAAAATGTTTCTTAAGAAAACTTAATATATATTTGACTTTTGGCCAAACCCACTACCCAGTTAAGTTCTCATGCACTGAACTAGAAACTCAGCTTCTACATTGAACTTCAAATCAAGTGTGGCATTGGGATTTTTGAATATGACATTCTGTGCAGCAAGGAATAGTTTCCTAAGACAACTTCCATTGTTCAGAGATGTAGAGCAAAGAAGATGTTAGTGTCCCATGACCCAAGTGCTGCTATTAATATTCTCATAGCATCAAACTACTACAACCAAGTAGAAAACAAATACATATGTAACTTGCATTTCTTTGTCCCTTTCATTTTCTGATGCCTCTGACTCGTCATCACCCTCAGAACTGCTGTCTTGGAAACGTGGATCTTCTTGCCATGTGACTTCTACAGGCTTTATTGTTTCAAGTATGTAGGGCTCTGCAACAATATCACAATTTAAAAAAAAAAAAAAAAAAAAAATCAGATCATTCCCCTACTTACCAGTAAAAATTTCTACTTCAGAGTACTTGAACTGGAAAAGACAGATTTAAGGAGGACAGATACCTCCCCTCCCAGGTTTTCTATCACTCTCTGGACAGGCATGAATTTAGTCTGCTTTCTCATATGTCACAATTCACCCTCAAAATTCACAAGTAATGTCATCACAGCGCAGGGAAAACATGCAGGAGTCCTTCTGAAGCTTGTTGTTAGGGTCCAGGGTTCCATCAAGTCACTCCAACCTAACAATCATTATCAATCAACTGTGTTGGGAGTAATTGCGCCCATTCGTATTTTAGCTTGCAGAAGTTGGAATAAAAGCTTTCTTTCACTGTGAACTATCTTAGTAAGTTCTTTTGAAACTCATAATGCCTTAGCTTACTCTTTCTGTGTGTTTAAGCTATGTTATTTTCATGTATGTGTTCCTGCCTATAGTATAAACAGGCAGCTGCCAGAAGCCCAGTTTACACATAGTAACTTAAATATGTTCCCAAGCTCTTACTTCCTCACCTCACCAGAAGAACTGAGGTTACAAACCTATGGTACCTTTTTATTTTAGTGTATAAGCACAGTACTTGTCTGGATGACCAGAACAGGGAAAACACCTCCTGTACTACCTCTCTTTAGCAATATAAAACAGTTTCCAAAACCAACAGTAACTAGACTATGAAACACAAACAGTATTTTATTCAAAAGGAAGATCAGAAAATTCTACTTTGGACAAAGTGAGTATTTGCAAGTTTGAATTGTCCACATAACACCCATAGTTTTTTTGGATTTTGTTTTTGAGCACAAACTGTCTACATGTTCTCCCTTCATTGTTTCTGCATGACACACACGATCTTAAGTCAACAACAACAAAAATAATCACAAAAATCACCTAAGCAACTGAGGTATGTGCAGCGGAGAGACCGACCTTTTGTTTGTGTCAAAACAGCAGCTAGCACAGTGGCCCTCTTGCCACCAAACAGGATTCTTATGCAATATAAACCAGTAACTGTTCATAACAGCAAATATAAGACACAGTGCTGAAGAGTAGTTCTCGGTGCTAAGAAATTTGGGAACTCTGAACTACACCTCCGCTCAGGTATTTTACACTTTGTTCTGGAGATCTCTTAGATACTCTGAAACCCCTATTACTGCATTCAGGAGACACAGCATACTTTCTGAAGTCAGCAGAAACGTGGGAGTTTAGTTTTGGGGGTTTTTTTGTTTGTTTTTAATTTCAGTTAACTTCACACAGTTTCTTTTATTTCCTACATTGCTACTTGTTAAGTGACTTGATTTCAGATCTTTTAATCTTGATTTCGTAACATTTGATTTTATCTTAGGTTAGGACACCCCAAGCATGTAGCATTGAGTTTCAATTTTCTAAAGGTACAATAATAAAACCAAGTACATAATAAAATGTTCTTGGATCTTGAGGTCAATTCTTAAGACTTTCTTTTGCTCATAATACTACCTTAATTAACACATTTTATTTAAAATCTTGTTGGTTTATATGAAACCTGATTTTATCTCTGTATCATCTTTTTCCCTGTTTAATTGACAAATTCAGTGGATAACAAGTTTTTCCATCACTGTTCAAAAAACAATGAAAGAATAATTTGTTCTCAAAGCATCCCTTTCAGAATTCCTAGGATGCAAGCATGAATTAAATGTGATTGAACCACAACAATCTTGCCAAGTATAAGAGAAGAATCATAATGATTTTGCATACTTACTTACTTTTGCCTCTGAAAATATCTTGGATTCTGAATTTCTATATGCTTTATAACTCTACTGTGTCTGACATAAGCTACTCATTAGAAATTGTACCATTATATATGTTCTGCTGTTACCTTCTTTTGTGCCCAACTCCTCCGTGTCTCCAAAGAAGGAAAATCTGAAACCACTAGACTTCTGAGCTACGTTACTCCCACCATTAGATCCCAAATGGTCAGGTGGGGTGGAGTCCTCCGCATCATCTTTGTCCCAGGGTATTTCTTCTTTTTTTTCTGATTTGCTCTTTGAAGATCCAAACAACTCTTTTAAATCAACAGCAACATCATAATACATTTCTTTAGACACTTCAGGCAGTTTCTCACTCTCTTCCCTCTTCTTCTTCCTTTTAGCTTTACTGAAATGAGATTATTGAAGGATAGTAACACAGCACATGTATTTTTAAAAGAAAGGTAAGAGGCAACTTTGCTATTAATGTCTTCCTAAACTTAGCTAAGGAAGCTAATGACAAGTTCACTTTTAAGGTTTGGGGTTGGGTTTTTTGTCTAGTGGTGGAATTATAGTTACTAAGCTGTAATATTACCTCTCTCTTTCTGTTGTGCTTGGTTTCCTTTCAAAAACTGCATGGTCTTGTCTTGTGGGATCATAGCGGAGGGCATTAATATCTCTAGAAAAACAGAAAGGAAAAGAAAAACCGTGAGACATTATAAATGCTCACCTGAAAGCTACCCCAAACCTTTACAGTCAGATTCAAATTCACATTGACTTCCTTACCAAAAAAGCTCCAAATCATCCAAAACCTAACTGGCATTTAGAAAGTACCTGCTAGTCAGTTTCTGGGTCAGGAAAAAATGTAAACAGAAGTGGCTTTAATCAAATTGTATATTTCATATAAAACATAGACCTCAAGCTGTGTGTGTTATGCAGTAAGTTTATACCTGCATCTGTTGATCTTTTGAGGAGTTGTATCAATATAGCTATCCACATTGATAGATCTTTCTATATCTATTTCTTCCAGTACCAAACATTGCATAAATTCAAATAGTTTAAGAATGGGGAGAGGAAGACACCCCCTCCCTCCCAACCAACGAAAAACCCTCCACATTACACCCACCTTTCAAAATCTAAACATTTTGGGGACTTTCAGCTAAAGCAGTTTAAGGTTTAGACTGACCTCAATACTAATGTAGCAAAGCCCAAGCTGTCTTATGGCAATGCAAGAAGGTAATCACTTATTTCTCCTCCTCTCCCTCAATTAATACTTATGGCATAAATTAACTGCTTTTAAATGGTTACATACTATATCATTAACTGGGTATTAGAGAACACTGTCATTCACAAACTTTCCTAAGATGACCTCTTGGATTGCACAGATTCTTTCCCCCTCTGCTTAATCTTTAGAAAATACATGAAGATCTGTACAGAAGTGATAGAATTAAATATGATTGTGCAGCAGTCACAATGGTATTTAGCAGTCAGCAGTCAAATGATGCAACTCCAATAGTGAGTGTAAGACTTTACTAATTGCACACTCTAGCATTACCCTATTCAGTCCACAGACCAATTTCTGTTAAAGTGCACAGTTAAGTGTCACAACACTTCCAATAGTACATTTCCAAACCTATCTCATCATCCTCTAATGAAGGTTAGAGCATGCCCAGCAGCAACACATAAATTTTTAATTTAATGAACAAATTTCTCAAAAGCAGAAATACAGGTAAATGAAAAAAAAAATTCTCCACTGAAAAATAACTTTGATGCTAATCACTTGTAGGCCAGAGAAAACAATAACCTTATTAACTGCTATGGAAGTTAGAGTCTAACTTACCAACCTATTGCCCAACTCACACATTCTTTGCTTAGCCAACTTAAGTTTGTCTCCACAGAGAACCTAAATATATCTTACATAGGCAAGGACTTTTTAAAATATTAATTTTCATAATCAACAATCCAATCATTCAAAATCTACCAGAAAAACTCAAGCAGGCATCCCATAATTTTTTCCCTAAAATAATGATAATTACCAGCTGTATAATCTATTGGGACATTCAAGTTGGAGAACTGCATTAAAGGCTGACTTGAAATGCACACAACAGAGAAGGAAATACTTTCCTCAGTCAGCTGGGAAGAAATTTTAGTTGTGCAATACTGGCAAAAAATTAAGCCTTCCTAAATTTCCTTCTTTTCCCATAATGGATGATTCATACTTGAATTTCTTAGCATTTGAGGCTGCTTTAGTTGATTTAGGGTGCTCCAGGTTGATATTCAAGAGGCTTCCCAGTATTTGCAGATTTTTCTTTTTCTCTGCAGCAAGCTCTTCTTCATCTGCCTTCAAGATATTTGTCTCTGCTAAGAGAAAAATAAATACATTATTTTTTCATTGTTATGACCCGAGTAAACCTCTAATATTTGATATATAACAGTACTAGAAGAGCTCACACATATCAACACATCACTTCCTTTATTTTAAAGCTACTTGGAGGCTTTCTTCCTTGTAATCTTTTATTAGAATGTCACGGGCATCTATTTCATGTGAAAGTCAGATCAGTTATTTAACCTGTTCCCTACTTATATCACGTAACTGTGCAACTACTCTGCCACTGATAGACGCTGTCAAGAAGATCACATTAAAGCAATGAAGGGAGTAGCAGAACTAGGCAAAAATTTAAGTTTCAGAAACAAATTCTGAATCTTGAAAACTAGGTTAACAATCTCAGTTGGGGGGGGAAATATTTAAAAATTTTTGCCTTTTTCAGCTTTTCTGCCTTCTGCTGTTAAAAATAAAAAAAACCCAACCCTTCCTTCCTAAGGCTGCCAAATCAGCCGTGGACTGCAGGATAACTACAAAACATTTTAAATTAATATAATGGTCAAAAGGTTTATTAAAATAAGTCACCACTTATTCTGTGAAAAACACAGATAAACACATTCTGATATCATCTTGTATTAAAAAAAAAAAAAGAGTCAAATATCAATTTGTCAACCAAGAAAGTCTCATTCAGCTATTACAAATAGTTTTGCAACATACACATTTAAGGAAACACAACTACGCACAACAGAGTTGGGTTATTTTCTTTAAGGAATCACCAAAGAAGCACGAGTAGTCCGTAAGTTGCTTCAAGCATCAAAATTAAGGCTCCATGATCAGCTCTATTACTATCATTAACCAGGAAATAGAAGCAGGTTTACCTTCTTCTTCACTGTCACTTTCAAGGAATCGAGCATCCATGCGAAATCTTTCATCTGTGCCAAATCGTGATTGCAATTTCAAGAGCTAAACAAAAGGAAATAGATTCTATTAAGCACTGGAGAAAAAAAAAAAAAAGTCATCAACATCGAGTAACTTTTTTTCCCCCCATTATAATTATGCCAACATACTAATGACCTTTAGCTCTTGATGCCTTTTCCAGAAATTCCTTTGTATTCAAAGATGACAACATCAGAGAAACAACCCCCGCCCCCCAACACACATTTTGTCCATAGCTACCGTTTCCTCTATTTAAGAGAATTCTATTGCAAGTTTGTCAAAATCATATTCAACAAGTATGCAAACGTACATTTTATGTTCTTCTGAATAAGTGTTATGGAGACTTAGAGTAAAACTAAATTACAGTAATGGGTTCACTCACTTTTTCGCCAGCTTTGCCTTCAAACTGGGGCTTAATTTTGAATCTCTCGTTGTCTGTATTATCTTGCTCATCCTCACTGCTTTCAAACAGTCTGCCTGAAGTTTTAGGAGCAGATTTATCCTTTGTCAGACAAAAAGAAAATACAGAAAAGCATCCGTTTACCTAAGTTAGAGGAAAGAGTATGAATTCTGTTCATGTGCTTTCCAGTTGAAGTGGATTTCTAGAACAACCAGCTCACTTGTTGATCCATGCACTTCAAATATTACATTGTATACACAACTTGTACAATTAATTCTGTTTCACAGTTATGACTTAAATATTAGCATAGGCAAAATATCCATATAAAGGGTAACTCAGGTTTTACAATATGAGAACGTTAGGTATAAAAAACCCAACTTTCTGATTACGTCAATGGAGATCGATTCAAAAAGATCAGTGTCTAATTATATCCTTTCTGAACAAGTCTCATTTATGGTATGAACTCTAGGACTTAGTTTAAGTCAGTTGATAAATATCCATGATTACATAAGGTAAGCACTCCATGGCTTCAAAACAATTTTCCATAGAATTAGAGGGTCTTTTAAAGAAAAGGAAAAATATAGGCCAAGATATATACGCATAAAAAGTGCTAAATGTGAGGAAAAGTGAGAAAAGAAGGTTTTAACTAAATAGTGAGAATGGTCCAAATCCTACTTTGTTTATGAAGAAAAAAATCCAACAAAAGCAAAACCAATCGTTTAAAGCTTTAGCAGAGATGTGACTAAAAAACGTGATGATACAAGAAGTTCTCTTCCAGAAAAAAGGACTTAATTCTGCTGAAAGCATGGCGGTAAAATCCTGAGGAGCCTGTTAAATAAGGTCTCAGTTAGGTAAGGTGCAAAGAGAAAGTCCCCCAGAATTTCTGTGGACCCCAACATCACTTTAAAAACAAGACACTGCATTAATACAGATGCTTTGTCCACAGTGTTGGAAAGAGCAGAGTCCTTCTACACTACTCAAGCCAAATCTCTTCACCTTTGACTAGAAGTAGTGAAATTTCAAAACTAATTATGCATAAGCCCTATAACTTAAACATTCTTTTTCTTTTAATCAAAGTTAGAATATCTTTTATACAAGTCTCAGTCACCTTACAAATTCTCCAAGTTCTCCAGCTTTATCAGATGCATGGTTAAGTTCTCCAAAACCTGTTTCATGTTAGCAAAAAAAGAAGAATCATCCATAGTAATTCAAACCACATCTACCTTTTTCTGTCACTTCACTATGAAAAAGTCTTCAGAATAAAAGGCATAGCCACATTGATATGGAATTACCTCACAGAATGCTGGACTTTTTCCCAGTAACACTTACTTCTTCATGCGTATTTCCCAAACTCACATCTTTCTTCAACATCTCATATACTTCAGCTTCACATTCCACATCTGAATCGAATACGATGTGTTTATGCTTGCCTGCTGGCTGGCTATCCTATGTAAGAATGAGACTGTCAAATCAAACATATCAAATACTTGCTACAGTCATATATAAATACCTAAAAGACATTTCCATGACATGAAAGGAGAAATCTACTATTCCTCTTGCAACTCTAGAGACGTTCCAGGAATCATTTTGTATACACTCAAAAGAAAACTTTCAATGCAATCAGAAACTCCAGAATATGATTTTAAAATACCTTAAACCCCTTTTCTTTTACTGCATACTATTCAGATAGAAGTTGAGAGTGTCATTACCAGATTTGAAAGAGCTCCTTGAATGAGTTTCTTCTGCAATTCTCTCTCTTTCTGTCTCTCTTCTAGAGCTGCCAGCCTCCTCTGGTTATCCTGCAACTGTTTCTTTTCTGTATTAGTTTCCTTTGAAGCAGCAGCATGAAGACAAAGGTTCTTATTTTCCAGAAGGCTTGTCTTCCCTTTCTCACACATATTAGCTTCACATTCTGGATTTTTATTGTTTACATCCCTCAATTTTTTTGACAGCAGTTTTGGGCTTTTCAGTTTTCGTGTAATGGGTTTCTGTGACACTGCAGCATTACTATCCATGTCGCTGCTCTCATCTTCGCTGTGATCAGTACTAGGACCAGCACCTCTGTGCCCTGAATTTTGGTCTTCTTGCAAAGAACTTGCATCTTTGCTTTTTCCCTGTAAAGGTGGCTGGGAAACAGGCTGATCACTCTCATCTGCTACAGAGGCAGCATCTGACAATTCCCTTTGCTGTTCACAGTGCATATTTTGTCTCTTTTTACTGCTGACTTCAAGTGAATGGTTCTTAGACTGACTTTTAGATGACTCCTCCCCACAACAAGAAATACAAGCTTCAAGACCTAAAGTTTCTACAGAACCCTTCTTCAAACCAGTGCTGTCCTGAGTTAACTCTTTTTTACAAAGGGACCCCATTCCTCTGAAGGGCTGATATTTCAAACACGAATTATTTTGTCCCTTGGAGATTTCTTCATCAGCATTCTCCTCCCCTGCTAAAATTGCAGCAACGATATCTTTGGGACAGATACATTTTTTTTTAACTGCAGGGTGAAATTTAGAAAGTTTTCCATTTGCTTCAACACTGCATCGACCAGAACTCTGTGCACTGTCCGATTCTTCTGCTGGTGTCCCAGTGTTTTCAGTAGCTAATGCTTTTAAGTCATCTAATGTAAGGTCTAAGCGATAACAGTTTTGCATCATGGATTCATAATCAGAACTGATGTCAGACTCCCCTTTCTCAGGCTCTGAATAAGAGCTTTCACTGTCACTTGTCTTTGTTATACTGTTAATTGCTGTACTCTGTAATGCAGCAATTTTGGATTTTTTAGTTTTGCCTTTTCTTTCAAGGTATTCTTCTTTTAAATTGCAAGTTTTCAGTGAGGAGCCATTTACCAAATCACATTTTTTGTTAGTTAGTATTTCTTTATTTTCCACCTTCACCTGTTTAGAATTTTCTGAAGTTGCAGGTTTCCTGCTACTTAGATCTGGAGTTTTACTCTCAGCAATAATTTCGTCTGTATCTGCTGAATCATAGCCATTATCATATTCTGCACTCTCTTTCTTTCCGCAGCTTCCATTGATCGCTTTCTTCATGGCATATGGATTGCTTAAGGACCAGTGACTACTGTATTTTAATTCAAAATTCTCCCCAACAATTTCCAAGTTGTCACTTTTAGTCCCGACATTTTCAGCTTTCTGTATTTCTAACTCCTTCTTTATAATTGCTCCGATTTCCTCTTTGGAATCAATGTCACTCTCAGAAACATCCATATTATTTAGCACAGTAACTCCAGAAACATTGCTTTTATCTGATAACCAACCTATCCCTGATATTTTACTATTAAGACTGCTTGATGAAGGCAATTTAGACTTCTCACTGGATTTGGATTTTGATCTTTGATCTAGTTGTGATGAGCTTGTGTTTCTGGAACGTGACTGGCACCCAGAAGAGAGAACTACTGCTCCATTCAGAGCTTCACTGCCCAGTTGCCTCAGTTTTTTAGGTGGCTTCTTAGTTGCAGGGAACTCTCCTTGCCGCTTCTTGGTTATGCTGTCATCTCTCCCTTCCAAGTGCCAAGTGAGCTCGGATATAGGAGTTACACGCGTCAAGTCTGGTTCCAGCTTTCTAAGGTTATGGCAATATTTTGATGGGTCATATTTCACAATGTTAGTCCGAGTTAAGGAATTAAACCAACATGATTCTTTCAGCAAGCAGACTTCCAATCTTTATGAACAGGCTAAATTCTGTGTGAAAGGACAACAAAGAGTCCTTTTTAATGTTATGACCATAAGCCTTTAAGCAACTGGCTTGCAGTCTAAAAAAATTATTCAAATCACACAAACTTACTCCAAGATTTACTTGGGGGATTCAGTAAATCAAATATGATGTAATAGTCCATATTAAGACTGTTAAGCAAATGTTTTCCCATATGATGAAAGAAAGAAGGGAATTGTGCCTACGCCCAACGAATAGGAAAAGGATATTTTATTTTTTTGTTGACTCCTGAGATGCAGGATAGGCAAGACTCTGCCGAATTTACCAACAACCCATTTCTAAAAGACAAGAAAAATAATCAGCGTTAAACAAAACAGGATTGGAAGTAACCCTGGAATAAAACAAGATGTATGTTCCTTGGTAACAGAAACACTAATGAAGAACCATCTGTGACTAATTCTCTTTTTGTTTACTCTCTTAAGTGAGATATATTTATACTATTTGCAACTTAGCCAGTTTCCTTCTCAAAAAAAGAAAAAGCCAAAAACAACCAACCAAAACCCCAAATTGCTACAACCTGCAAGTAAAGAGCAACGAAGAACTGCATTTCTTTAAAAGCACTATTTTTAATATGAGGCTTCTGGTTTATGAATTACAGTGGTAACTATACAGACAGGATGACTGTTATTTTGCCCTTTTCCCCTTTCTCACTAAAAAATTAAAAATTCCCCATCACCCTGCAAAAACATTCTGTGCTTAGCAAATAATTTTGAAGACTTTGTAGCAAATATAATTTTTGTTGCCCAAATTTGCATGTTCAGTGATTTTATTCCAAGTCTTACTTTTGTAAGCATGTGTAGACCCTGATCCTGAACATGCTGAAGCACAGAGATTAGTTCCTGACCACCCAGCTGCCAAAAATGTACATGCTGTATAAAAATAAGACACATGTAGTCTTTACATGCTTTTAAGGGTGACACAAAGATATTCCCAACATAAACGAGTAACAAAGTATTTACTAATTTAACATGACAAGAAAGGACAGTATGATTGTGATTATTTCCAGTCATTTCAGTGAACAGGAGCACTCTACATGTCTACACACAAGGTATTTCTTTAGACTACTTTTCACAAGTTGGACTGTTGCTCAATAAAAGTTTCTTTACCTAAAGCATAGAGATTTGACATAAATTTAGATGCAATAAGCTTGTGCCCAATTTTGGTTTTTGTTTTGTTTTAATTCTCTGTACATCTACCCCACCATACCTTATGGTCTGGCACCTCTGTACCTGGTACTGCTTTCATATGAAAGTCTACAACTCCAGCCTTCTTCAGTGATTTTAAAATACACCTCCCTCTCCATGGTGAGCCTGTGCCAAGAAGTACATCATATATGATAAAAAGTCTGCTGGTGTGCTAAATTATAGCTGGCAGTGACACTCTCCCACAGAACAGTAGCCATTCACTACTTAAGGAATCAACATATCTGGTACCTTTAAGGGAATAATGATGCAAAACACGTTGCAGTATCTAATATGCACCAACAGTCCACCAATGTCAATAAAAATTAGAATTAATGAGAGCGTAGCAGATGAAAGCGCAGCCATAATGGTAATAGATAAACAGAAAAAGGGTAACTTTGGCAACAAGGTATGTTTTAAAAAAAATTATTTTTACCTATGCAAAAAGCTTTCTTTGGCCAACTCAATTTGCAGTGTCCCCCCTTTCCATTTTGTTTTATTTAAAATTGACATGCCTGTAAAACAAGGAGACAGGAAACAAATACTTTCTACATTATAAAAATACACATTAGACTTAACTATGACATAACTATGACAGTTTTAAGTTTCTTTAGCATGATCTTATACTCCATTACTCACCTGATATAAGACTGTACATGAAAGGTCTAATACCCTAATCTTATACAAGAAGATTTACATCCAGAATTAAAGTTCTGTCTTCAAGAGAGTCATTCAAGTTTGCATGGTTCAGTTCAAATACAAACCTGAAAATTCAGATACATGGACCCTGAAGTTTCTACGCTACTGTCAGGTAGGCTCTACCCTACTTAACTTCTGTACTTTGGAAAACACAGTTAAGCAGTATTGAAAACCAAAGGGAAAAGCCTTGTACTTAGAACTTAAGGAAATTAAGTATCAAGGGCTGGGTTAACTTTTAGTTGTTCTCAAATAGCTTTCCTATTCGTAATGGGAACATTCCCTAGATAAAAGGGCACATTACCAATCCCCCTTTTCAGGTATAGGTATTGTCACCTGCCATTTTGCTGCTACATATTACAGAGGTGGTTTTATAACTCCACCAGTAGTTTTGTAATCCAACTATTTTGGGATTTGTAAAATTGCTTTAACAGAAGCATGCTTTACATAAACGCCCCTTCCGGGTTTCCTCTGACATCAAGTCCCTTCTAATATTTTACGGACCTGATGAAAGCATTTGAAGCACAATTCCTATATTTTTTTTTCATAAAAGGGTTAGAACGAACTCATAAATCACTTATTTCAGTCACAAGGCATCTTTTTAATCTGCATATATCTACTTACTGAAAACTCCAGTAGAGCAACCTCCGTAAAATTGCAGCTTAAAGAAAATGGAATAAAGATGACAACTGAATGAAACAGGGTCTACCTTGACCACAACCTGATTTGACGCTAGATGCATTATCAGTAATGCAACTTGACTCAAAAATGTAATTATTTAAAAAAAATATATATACACTTACACTTTCTAAGATCTGCATCAGAAATGTTGACACTGATGTAGGCAAAAGTTTTCATGGGGTTCCCTGTTCAATGATAAACATTCAGTTAACTTCTATATAATTTCAATGTTTCCTTTAAAACTGAAAACTAAACTATTTCCTGAAAATAGTCTCCAAAGCAAAAAAATCCATTTCACACTACAAATAAAAAACAATTCACTTTTAAAGGATGATGCAAAACCATTACCCTGATCATCTTTTCTGGTAATAATCTCTGCATCCAAAACATGCCCAAACTTGCCAAATCTTTCTTGCAGTTCAGCCTTCGAAACCGTATGGCCAAGCCCTCCAACATATAAGCGTTTTAAAACCTGTTTCTTCTCCATGTTGAAAAGTCACGCTCTCACACCTGTTAACGCACACTGTTTTACTGCAATAAGATAAAAAATAGTTCACCAACACTTATATTGCAGACGTTAATACAATCAGAACACCTAATCACGCAACCGATTGTCCCATCAGAGGCCCTCCTTAAAAAACCTTTTGAGGACTCCTTTGCTCTGCACCAGGTTGCACGCTCTGCTCCGGCCCAGCATTGCTACAAGCAACCAGGGTTTAAGCATTGGGAGTTTTTTGTTGGTTTTTGCATTTTTTTAAAAACCTTGAAGCCTATGACCGGGTGCATAACAACACGTGCCAACAGCTCTTAGCAACATAACCTTTCTAAGGATTATTCTCAGCGAGGGGAAGCCACCCTCAGACCCAACAGGCGAGACCGAGGCCACCTCCGCAGCTCCGAGACCCGCCACTCCGCCGGGACGCGACACCGCTCCCTCACCGCCTCCATGTGCGAGCCTCCCAGCGCCACTCAATTTACATTCCCCCTCGGATCCCTTCCTTAGAGCTCACTCGGAAAAAAAAAAAAAACGTTCCGCCTCCTGGAGCCGCCGGGTTCCCATTGCCTCCTCTCCTTTTTCGGGTTTTCGTTTCCGGCCGGTCAAGTATGATTGGAACACACAGGTTGGGTCTCGTGGCTTCGGAGGCTTGTTTGGGCGTAACTAACCAGGAGCAAAGGTAGGGGCGTTTTCCACAAGACATGTGCAAAAAAAAAAAAAACAACAGGAAATAAGAAACAAGATAACACTTGTACCATTCTTTTAGAATAATTGTTTCGGGAGCCTCCCTTCAAGCGGCTCTGTTGTTTCTCGAGGGGGAATGAAGGAGCGTCCGGCGCCCCCTGCTCGAGCTGCAGCTGTGGAAGCGCCCAGGCCCGGCTTGGGCGCGCAGTTCGAAGGCGCGGAGCGCGCGCGGGGGCGGGGCCTTTCTCTCTTTCCTTAGCCTCTCCTCTCAGCGCTGGGGCTGTGGGGGCTTTGCTTGCTCGCTTGCCGCTCTCCTTGAGCGTGTGTGGCACCACCGGGGCGGGCCCTGGTACCTGTGAGCCTCGACCCACCTCCTGGGGCGGCACCGGCTTGTCCGGCGGTTCGGCTCGTCCAGCCGGTGCCTTGTGAGACTGCAAGACTAGGAGCAAAGCAGCGAAAGGCAGGACCTCGTCGTCTCGTTTCTCGCTAACGCTTGAATGCTCTTCCTGTGGCAGTGTAAAAGCAAATGTTTACGGCCGTATACGTGTAGGTAAGTGGAAATGTGAAATGTTTACTCTTAATGCACAAATATACGTGTGTGTGTGTGTGTACGCTTAGGGTGAGGAGGAGTGATTGATTGATTGTCGATAAATTGGTCTGTTTAATTACGGGGTTTTTTTTGCTTGCTTTCTTGGAGATAATGCTCTTTGAAGTTATAACTAGCTTTTAGGTCTTCTGCAGTGTAGTAAAATCCCTCCAGTTAAAATAGCCGTGAGCAGCGTGCGTGTTCTGTTGCTGTTGTGCAAACAGCCAGCTGGTAGAAGAGGAATTGGCTAACAGCCTAGGGTAAAGTTCTGCCTTTTGGAATGTCTGTTTCCCAACGTACTCTTTGTGCTGACCAAAGCTTTTTTTCAATGTATACAGTTAAAACAAAAATAATAGGATGCATTAAAAGTTGGAGAACTTCTGTTTTTTTCCCTGGTGACCTTGTTTGTTGTCATATGTTGCATAAGATTGCTTTAAAATTTCAGAGGAAGTCATGATTAGGTACAATCTCAGTGATTCTTTAATTATATATACTTCCTTTATTCACTAACATTTTTAATGCAAAACATGTTTTGAGTGTTGTTTTCTTATGTGTGTTACTCAGATGCTGTTTCTTATGAAACAAACCAACAAAATTCTATTTCCCCCTCACCTCTTCTTATTGAACCATGTTAGTTTGAAACTTGCAAATATAGTAGGGGTTGTTTAAAAACACACATAAAACTAGATTTAATTTTTTTTCCCCCTGGTTGAAAGTATTAATGCACTGGGTTTGAGATTCATAATGTTCTCCACAGTCCTTTGAATGTGTCATGTCTAGGCTGAATGTCAGATAACTTTTTTTAATTGATGTTTATTTATTTTGAATTATGTGTGAAGCATCTTCATGTTTCTCTGCTGTTCACCTGAACATGCTGTGGTGTAAGAACAGCTCTGCTTTGTTTAACCAGGTGGATTGCTTAGGTAAATTGGCCAAAGCTGGATTCAATTTCTGTATCTGATTAGGATTGCTTTCTGTCTGGAGAACAGCTTGTTGTTCTATCACAGCAAATGTAAAGCAGCTGCATATGCTCCTGGATGAAATCATGATTAGTTAAAAAGATTCTTAAAGACAGCTTTTGACTATGTAAGATTCCCAATTTAACTTCTCTATTTAGAGTCTGTGCAATGATCTGTGTCTTAAAATTGGTTTAATAATTATATTTGGACTCAATGCATTAAGTCTTTGAGGAACTAACGCAAGAAAACTACATTTTTTTTTTTTCCAAAATTGTTATCTATTTTGGAGAAAACTACTTTTTTTTTTTTTCTTTTCTCTTTTACGGAAAGTCAAAAATTTGTTCTTTGTCACATTCTTGCTGATATCTAGTAGCTTCCTGTATTTGGTGGAAGTGGAATCTTTCCTGTTCATGATGCTTTTAGCAGAGTGAGTTACCGTGTTTTTTAGGAAGCTTTATTACATTCAGAATTATGGAAAACGTGGCTTTTCTGTTCTTTTAATGTCTACTTGCAGACTGGCCTCTCTCTAAATGGTCTTTCTAGGGTTTAAGTAGGAGTTACATTGATGGCAGACTTTTACTGCAAGCCTAATTCTGTTTTCAAGTTGGTGGGAGAATTCCTGTCAAATTTCCTTGCTGAGGATTAAGGTTTATATGTTAGTTTAGCCTTCTGTAGCAAATGGGAGTGTTTTGACACTCTAGAATTTTTTACGGAGGTATAAACTATTATACTTGTCAAAGCTACCTGGGATTTTTAAAAACTGTACATACCAGTTCTTCAGTTTTCAAAAGCCATAGCATAGAACTGTCTCATATTAAGTAGAGGGGTAGGACAAAAAATTACCTAATGTTATATTCGCATTTCTTAAAATAGTTCCTTGGATAAAAATAATCTATTTTGAAAATGGATTTTTTTTTTTTATTTGGCCTAAGAAATATTCTTTTTTTATTTTATCTAGTAACATCGATTCTGAGAAATGGACAATGGCACTTGTCAAGTTTATGAAGATGAAATCCAGTCACTGGAAGAAGAAATTAAACTATTAGCTGAAATGTATGAAGATAGCCAACAGGAATCCACCTTTTTTTCTGAAGAGGAGATATTAATGTCAATGTATGGCTTTTTTTACATGTGTTTCTTTGTGAAAATTGTTTAGGATAAGCTTTTGTCTTTATGTTACGACTTCCCATATGTTGTTTTTACAGTGCTGATCTTGTTTAGGACGTGGGATATATATGGTAAAAAATCACAAATAATAAATTGTTTGTTTCTCTCAACTACCTTCCATTGGTAGTTTGTGGTGTTTGCTTGCCTTTTTTTTTTTTTTTTTTTTTTTAAAAGCATTACAGTCAGAGTGGTCAGAGCATGATATTGGGTATGTTACTGTGTGAGCCCTGCAAAACTGTTGACTACAAAGGCCATGTTTTCCATTATGCATGTTTACTTAAAAGGAAAAAAAAAGGGGGTTGGGGACATGTACAGGTGTGACTGGTTATATGCTAAAGTGCCATGTTAGGGCTTTTTATTTCCATTATTTAACTGATATTCTAGTAAATGTACACTCTGTAGGTAAAATAAGTCATTTAGATGAGTAAAGGCATCAAAGCTCATTTTTGCTGTAAGTTTCTCAAAATGGATACTGACATCTGAAGACTTACAATAAAAGCTGTGTCTACCTGGCAGTAAACATAAAGTATTTATGTAAGTTCGAATAGTTTCACTGTTCCTAGTAATATGATCCAACTGAAATTTGTCTCATGGAAAACCGATCTTGGTCTGAAAATCATCAGATCACATTACAAATGCCTTTTATTTAATGGTATTGCTGTACTGATGTGGCAAAACATGTTCTTATGTCTGGGTCTTCTGCCCTTTTGATTTTATTTATTTTTTTCTTTTTCAATTCTAGAAAATCATTCCAAGGAGAATTTCAGGGAGAATCTAAGGGACATGAATGTCCATCAGACCTGAAAGCTCAACTTGAAAGTCTAGAAAGAGATCTCTCATTTTTAATGAAATTTACTGGTTTTTGGTTCACAAGTCATTCCAAGAAAACGGTGGAAAAAAGTAAGCATTTTTGTGACCTTTACTCATGCTATATGGAGCATACCATTTCAGTTCATTACATTTGCAAATGCATGTTGTATTTCTACTTTCAATGTTAACAGAAGGACAATTACCTTGTAATACAGTAGAGTTTCTTCTTTACTGACAAAATAATTTTCAAGTAAATATAGTACTTTGCATAGTGGGAAAGACCACTGTGAAGTTAGTTGGGTTTTTTTAACATGTTTAACTACTTTATATGATGGATGGTGTCAGTTGGTACTTTAAATATGACTAATGGAAGAAATGCAATAATTGTTGAATGGAATTACAATCAAGTATTTTGTTAACTTTATTTTATAACAGCTAAAACCAGAACAGTGCGGAAGCACAGGTTATCAGGGAATTGCCATTCCCTGTCTTTTCAGTTGGAGTTCCAGCTTCTTGAAATGCAGGTAAGGATCAATGTATGTTTAAAAAGACAACAACCAAGCAAACAAACAGAACTTCAAATGGACAAATGTCAGTATTTCCTTTTCCAGCTGCAATCCTCAACTGGTATTTTGTTGTTTTGGTTGCCCGAGTCTCCTTAATCTAAGCCTCAGTAGGTTGTTTTCACTGTGTAACATCTGGACCCAACTTTTGAATTCCATGTGCATCCAAGCAAAATAATTCTGAAGGTCAGGTTCAACACTCGTTTATGAAATTCTTATAATAGAATTGCTTAGGTTGGAAAAGACCTTTAAGATCATCAAGTCCAATCCCAATTTGTAGTAATATTTTTGACATCAGGATATTTCCTTCTCAAAAAAACCTTGATTTTCAGCTCAGCTTTAAAAGTGTTTTTTAATTTGAATATAATTGGGCCTGATAGTATTAAAAATGCCTTGCTATGTAAAGATGTCCTTCATAATCTTAAGAGAAGCCATATAATGAATTTAGGAAATGGCTTTTTCGATAGTCATATGCGGATTGCATCATTTGAAACTACAGGAGTTCAGCTGAATGAGGTTATTCTGCAACCTCTTAAGTCCATGCATGACTTGAAACTTGTGGTCATAGTAATACTGTTTTACCATTCGCTTGTATAAAGCTGCATTTAGCTTTGAGCATGGAAATAGCCTGCATCAATCATGCAACTTGGTTAGATTGATGTTGTTTTCTTGCCTGTACGCTCCTGCAGAACGATGAAATCTTTTACTGTCAATGGAGCTCAGATGAGTAACTGCATGTTATGTATAGCTGCATTGGTGATGCTTATATCACTAGATGGCAGCACTTGTCTACGTAATGCCTAAAGCTTACTGCTTCAGCACTGATGAAATGCCCTAGAGTAAATGATACATAGAATACCCAGTGTATGTATTTAAAAAAACCTCCACACTTCAGTTGAAAAAACATAAATTTGAGTTAATTTTTTTCATTAATTTTTTAAATAAAAGTTCATGGCACCTGTAACTTGCAATTTAATATGCAATGCAGATGATGTATTGATTTACCTTAAGTTAATAAACTTTGAATTGCCAATATTTTATGTATTTGTATGGTGTGGGTTGTGGATGTGTTGTCAAAAATGGCAAATCAGTTAAGCAGACACAAATAAAGAATACAGGTTTTTAATTGTGCCATAATATACAGGTTTTGTTTTTTATTTTTGGTGTTACATACCCAAGTCAAGAAGTACACTTACTGTTCAAAACCAGACTGATTTCTGTTCCTTAACTCAGTTTTTGTGATTGTAAATGAACTTGAACATGCGTTTACTTAGATGTTAATGTGTTTTAGCCGTTGTATTAATAATAATGTAATGGTTTGGTTAAAGAGTTGTAAAATGACCATTGTGTACAGGTCTATATTTTAATTTTGTTAGAACTGTTTAAATCACAGATTTTGAGATAATTTATTATTTCAAAAATTCAAGCTTAAGGATTGTATTTTTAAGATATACAGTTGTGTAATTTATATGATTAAAGAATTATTCTCTTCCATTTCTTTATAATGAAAAAGCATATTCCATGGCTAGATTGTTAACAATTCAGGCTTTTTGCCTAGTTCTCCTTGGCTGTTTCTGTGGTGTAAAAGTAGTTGCATGTCATCTTAGTTTTGCCACAGACTTTGTACGCTGTGCAGGTCACCCTGTGGTGAAGTCAGTAGGTCTTCTGTGGATAGAGGAGTCTGCTTCTGCAGCTCTCAGGAAAGCTGTGACCAGGCCAGACTAAGTCCTGGAAACTTAGCTTTAACTTTTTTATGCCTTGCATATAAAAGTGGAGAAGCCTATTTTCTAAGATATGGCATTAACAATTGTATTCAAAATAACCTGTACTGAGACCAGCATGAGCAAGATAGTGTAAAGTTGCAACTAGTTTCACCCCTTGAGAAATAAAAGACAACAGCTGTTTTGGGGAAATGCTTAGAAGTAACAAATACATTGATATACAGCAGAAGATAAAGAATAACTTTTTTCATACTGTTAACTCTAGCAGTTTAATCTAGTAGTTAAATTACAATACAGTTAACTCAGCTCCACGGTACCTTGTCAAACCTGTTAATATACGGTAACAAATTGTTCTAATTATATCTAATTTGATCTTAAACAAAATGTTAAGTGTCATTCATGTTAAAAGGTGTATTCCAGATTACAGAGAGGGGTAAGCAGACGTGAGTTCACTCTGACTGGCTTTGAATGGTTGAGACTGTCTGTATTACTGTAGTGTTGGTCACTTGCACCTGACATATTCTGCACCTTGGCTGGCTCTTTAGTTTTGGCACAGCATCAGACTAGTGTATAATTTATATTCCCAAGCTGACTGGTGTTTTGCCAGCTTTGAGTGCAGCCAAAGAAGCTCCAGTTGGTTCACCATTGTGCATAGGTGGATGCCTACAAAGGTTAAAATGTGGATGAAGAAAACAGGTTAATGCAAAAGAACTGCTTGACTTATTTATTTTCCCCTCTTGCTGTCCTTGGGTATTAGGAGAGGACATGTATAATTACCTCAAAAATCTGCCAAAACAAGTCTAAACCACTTGAGAAAGCAAACATTCAAATAAGAGTTGCTTTCTTCAAGAGCTTTCCTTTTAAATCTTTTTATTTGACCCCAAGATGGCATTGTGGCATATGTTAGTAACCCACTTAGTGGAAATCCAGTTTCTTTAGAAGGCAGCATGTTAGCTTGTGACTACTAGCAGCTTCTCTACAACTCCATGCACATGTTGAACCTTTTGCTCTAAATTGAAAATTATTTTTTCTGATGTTACTTAATCCACTAAACTTTGTAGTGTCTTGGTTTGCCTTTTCCATCTTTACTGATGGCAGTGTTAGCAGTACTCCTGTCCAACCAGTACTAGGGATTGCTGTGGTAGGTGGGCATTTGACTCCAGCTTGTCTGTTTAGTGTCTTCTGTGTCACTGTTCACATTTGCTTGTAGTGACTGGGTATAAGAAAAATACAGTACAAAGTCTCCAATGTAAACTGAAGCATTTGTTATGGTATTCAGGCCACAAATTTAAGTGTTTACATTCAGTTATATCTAACCTATTACTCTGGTGTGTTCAAGAATGAGTAGAATAAAGAATTAAGTTATTTTGTGGCTTCATTTCTACTACATGATGTTCTTTTCTCTTTTTTTATAGGTTGTTAGATATTTTAATTTGGAAACATTTTATTTTTATTATCATGCACGTATCCCTGGGTAGCAATTATTATTGTAAAAAGGGACAAGAATCTGAAGCAAAACTATAGGCTTTAAGATGAAAAAAAACAAGGAAAACTAACAGGATTTTTTTTTTTTAAACTTAGGATAGCATTATTATTGTTTTCAGATAAAACCCTATATTTGAGTTTTCTGTTATATGTGGCAGCTAGGGGTTGGGTTGGAAAATGAGAAGAATCTTAAAGAAGTGGAAGTGACATGAAAGGAAGTAGATGAACCTCTTATTTATAAGTCTTTATTATACATATATATTCTCTATGCTGACTAGTTCAGGTATTATTCCAAAAGCCTTATTGTATGGATAATACTGATACTGTTGAAATGGGAAAAAAAATGTCCACGCATATGAGCTGTAATTTAAAAAATGCTATTTTAAAGTACTTGGCAACATTTGCATGTATTTTTGTCTATTTTATATGCAAATATATGTATTTTCTCCTCACTAGAGAAATTTATAAAATATCACATTATTGCTTCTCCAATCTAGAACAAAGAGAATGTGTCTGCTGTTATTACTGATCTCAGCATTGTAATGGAATCTGGAGAAGATTTAGATGTGAGCAAGTTTGTGTCAAGGTAAGGTGGAGTTTTTTGTTTCGGGGAAGTTATTGTATGGGCTATCTGATACTAAATGCAATACTGAGTTTTCATGTAAATTGCTAGCAGTCAGTTTCTTTGTTTGGTAATGTACTGTTAGCCCAACCTAAACACTTCCCATCCCTTGTCTGTATCCTTCTGGAGAGAAGGTGAAATGCGTATAATTTTTAAGACCTGAAAGGACCATTCTGAATTCATCTTAAACAGAAACAGGTTTTGGATTATAATGCGTTTTAGCTGCTTGAAATTGTTTAGTTCAGGGAAAGATGTAACAAGGTTTTCTCATCTATTGCATTTTAATTTATATAATCAACACATTAGCTGTTACTTAGATGTGTATGTGAGTTGCAGATGTGCAATGTGGGTGAGTAATGGCTAAAGGGTACATCCAGAACCCCTCTCTGGGGGTTTCTAATTCTCTGCTCACCATTCCATTTCTCTTCTTTGCATTGTGATTTTTTTCACTAATGTTTTAAAAACAAAAGAATATAGTTTAAAAACCTGGAACAGTGTATTTGTGCAGTTGTTTAAGAAAATGACATACTAAAACTTAAGCATATGACTGAATGCTACTTCTTGATTTTTCTGGAGGATGTTAACTTCTTGTACATAGGATGGATAATGATCAAATTATTTGCTAGCAAACTATTCTGAGAGCAAATTATTATTTATTATTGGGTCATTGACTTAAGTTTTGAGTTACTTCAGGCTTCATTAGTCTGTGCTGAGAGCTGAATTTTTCATTTAGAGGCTTTGGACTTTCCATATAAATCTGATAAAGTTAGTGGTAAAACTGAGAGTAGTTGACTGCTCTCAAGAAGCAGGATTTTAGAAGAGGAAATTACCCTGGTTGTATTCATGAGTATTTTCTGACAGCAGAAGTGTCTTGGAACTTAATAGCCATACTGGAAAGAAATGCCTTGAAGTAGTGGTAGACTTTATTTCATCCTGGCTTGAGCCCTGCTCTCTTGTCCCTGTCTAGTCACTGCCCTGGTCCTTTTCCACATTACACCAGTATTCATAAGTAAAAATAAATTTTCATGAATGCTCTAAGATGAATTAAGACTTTGCTGTCAATAAAGCAAGCAAAGCTCTTTCTCCTTAGCCTCGATTTGCATGTACCATCTGTTGTCCTTGTGTCAGTGTATATACTCTTGAAGCCATATGGCAAATAGGTTCAATGTAGTCATTTGGTTGAAAAAGTTATTTAGGGGGGACAACCCAAACTTGCTCCCCTTCCCCCCCACCCCCCCCGCCCCTTCACATTTCATTTTTTCTATTTGACTTGTCCTGCAATGTTTGTTGCTGATCTAATGTGGTAAACATGTGGCCAGAGTGGGGCTGATGTCTGTTCTGACAGCAACCCACTGTTAGATTGACTTAATCTGATTATGTGATCTCCCTTTATGGCTTGTTTTCTCAATCCCCTTGTTAAGCTAGTTCTCATTTCTTACTCTGAGTCCTAATCCCCTCCTTTCCTGTCCAGTTTCAGTCTTTTCCCAACTAGCCGTTGTTCTTCAGTCCACTAGCTGCTCTTAAATCTTGATTCCAACCTCTTACCTCCCTTCCCCTCTGTTCTTGACCAGCTAAGTCTGGTCTCCCTCTGTATTGTACATTCTTTTCAGCCTCCCTACCAGTTTCTGTTTCCTTTTGCCTCCTTGGCCCAGTCTTGCCAAATCCATTGTCTAGCTCTGTTCTGTTTTCTCTACTGGCCTGGATTTTTTCCTCCTCAGCTTTCTAATTTTTTTTGCTTCATTTTTTCATAATGCATGACAGAAAAAGGTCTTTAATAGCACCAGAGTTAAAAACTTGGCATTCACTTGTAATTCCCAAGCCCATCCTTGCTTTGGAAGAAAACAGAGGAATGCTAGAACACTTGAGCAACATCTTTTAAAAGAAGCAAAATTCAATGGTTTACTTTCAAGCGAGTACTGCTGCAATATATAATACCTATTTTTAAAAGATGTGTACTATTCCTTAAATATGTCGTGGCAATAAAGTATGTATGCAAATGGAATCATGATATTTAGTCTTCTATTTTTGGATTTTACTTGAGTCTCCTTTGTTGAGGACTGGAATATCTATGAAAAATCTTGTTGCCAGTCTTTTTTTTTTTTTTTTTTTTTTTGCTTTATATCCCAATCATTGTTGGGTTAGTTAACTATTGCACATATTACTTAGTCAAATAGGAGGAATTTTTAGACAGTTTGAAAACGGCTCCTACTTTTTACAAAGTAGTTAGAATTTAGAAGTTAAAGTGAAGGATTTATGAAATGTCTGTATTAAACACTGCATGGGCTAGGTATTTTGGAAGTGAGGGGAGGCATGAGTTCTTCCCACAGCTGTATCATTCTTTGGTTTTACATATTAATGCAAGAAGTCTTACATACTGCAGTGAGTTATTTTAAGAGAGGAAATCTATTTTAGCTAAAGGAGTGTATTAAAGGAGCCTTAAATACTTTTACAACAGTTAGGTTTCTTACATACTTTTGCAGATGTTATTTTGTAAAAGTAAAATGGTGTTTGGATGAAGGGCTTGTGAGTTTAACCTGATGCATAGTTACTCTCTGCCTGGATGTGCTTTTTGCTGGTTTTGGATGACTTCACTCATACATGGCTGTTGGCTTTGGAGATGGGTGTTTTCTGCTCTCAGAGGAAATTTTTTTTTGAAAATCTGGTGACATTTTGTAATGCTAAATTATTTTTTATAAAAAAAAGCTTAAATTTCAACATGCACTCTCTTAGTACCTTGTTATTTTATACCAAGCTTTCTTGGTATTTTAGTGTTTGTTGTAGTTGGCTTCAGCATTAGGAATTAGGCTAACTTAAGCTAATTAGGAATTCTTGTTTATGGGTAGTTTAAGTGCTATGAGACAGTTAAATGAAATGGTGCTCTTATGCAGTCTCTTTCTCCCTTGCCAATACAAAAAAGCATGTATATTACATATGTCTGTTCATGCCAACACAGATTGTCCCCCTTTCTAAACATTTAATCTAGTTTGCTGTCTTAAATTTAGCCAGTGCTATATCTGTGCATGAGAGAAGTATATACTCGGGTATAATTTGTAGATTAACTTCTACATTTGAAACTGGTTCTTTGAACTTGTTAGCCAAAACTATCTCTCTCTCTGCTCGGTGATCCAACCTCAAAGAATTTCATCTGCTTTATTGCCAAAGGATGAATCTGAGAGGAAAAAAAAAAAAAACAAACAACCAAACTAAAGGCATAATGCTAAAACAAGGTCACAAAGTTTGTGATAGTCTTTTAAATTGCATAAAGGTGGATACTTGTCAGAACTGCCAAGCTGTTTGAAAAGAATTTTAAGTATATAGTTTTGAAACAGTCTTGTGTTGCCCTCTTACATGTATGTAGATTTACAAAGCATACTGTAGTATGTGTAGAATCATTTTTGCTAGACAGTGAGATGTGGGCAGTCGTTACTAAGTCTTGATTTTTACTACAGTATGTGTAGATTTTTATATGTGCAGTTACGAGTTGTGGTTTAAAAAAGCTGTCCAGAACATAGAGCTAGTCAGCTATTGTAAATCAGTATGTGTCTACGTCCTTCCAGGGACTCAATTTTAGTGTTCTGCCAGCATTTTTTTCATCTTGGCCTGATTTTGTTGGCAGCTGTGACTACTGTGGTAACTTCCTTTAATGATGCTGTTCTTTCCAGGCTAGGATAAAACTTGTTTGGTTTTTCTTTTACATTTTCAATATCTGAATGAACTTCATGTCTTTTTTCCAGTTTATGTTTGTGTAACATGTTGAGGGTCGCTGTTCCTGGATGTTAAGTAAGCTGGATCTAAGGCAGGGTTCTCCATTGAATGGCTGAAGTGGCTTGGTAATACACTGTTGCAACTATTCTGTTGATGGCCTCAAGTTCCTGCTCTCAGCTGTTCTGAAAATCCAGAAAGAATAGCTACTCTCAAACAGCAAGGATGTTAAAAGTAAAATTTATATCTAGAATTTAGTTTCCCTGTAACTTTCTGAAATATTCCCAAATGTAAGTCGGGTATCTTCCTCAGTCAGGTTTCGTAAATTTGTAAAATCCTGTATTAGTAACTGAAATAAATCTTGGTGTTTTTAAAGCAGTGCTTGCCAGGTATGTTTTGACAACGGCTGTTTCATTTGACTGTGGCTTCGTATCAGTAATGACATGAAGCTGTTCACCCTTATGATTAAAGAATCGTATTCCTTCAGGTATTCTGACACTTAGCTTCTGTGGAATTTTGCGTTCTTTGCATTCTTGCTACATTTCTTTGGTTAAAAACTGCACACCCTTAATGAGTGTTTGTCCTCCCTCCCCCTGACGACACTGGATGGATGGTTGGCTATTTGGCAGTTTCTGTCATCTTAGATTATTTCCTTTCTTTTCTTGATCCTGATTCTTACATTAGTAGAAATTTGAAGAATAAACATTTTTTTCTGTTATATTTTTCTTAAAAACAAACTCCTCCAAGACAAACTCTTCTTCCTACCCAGCTCCCCTCCTATTTTCTGTAATCTGTCTTTAATACAGTTATCTCTCGTAACAGCAGGTGGACTGTCTATTTCCTCTCTTCCTTAGAGCTGAGAAGCTATGCATATGCTTGGATGGTTGCTGGCACTGTTGTTAACAATAAAGAGGACAAGGTCTTTTCAGATTTCTACAAACTCTCAGTTGTTGTGGCCTTTATCTGATGTGAATGGATCTCTTCGTTCAAATGGTTCGAGTCCTAACTGTTCTAAGGCAGATTTTTGCACATTACTGATTTCCAGTACCTTGGTTGCCTTTCTTCTATTGCCTGTCTTCCTGGGCTGTCTCAGAGTGAATGTAGTGGTGTACTTCTACAATAAATGTTTTGCTTGTATACATCGTAGTTGACATACAAAGTAACGCAGTTTTGCTAGGACAAAATAGTAAATGTATAATGAAAGTAAGCAACTTTAGTGCCAGTTACTGAAGTAGAAAAGCGTACCACTTATTTTTGCTAGCAAATTTCTTGTGTAAATCAAATTTCTTGACATAAAGGAATGTACCAGCCCCAGTGTTTGATGCATTGCCACTTCTCTTACAAGGTAGTAATGATTTTGCATGTAGACTGATGAAAAATAATGGTGACATCTCTCAGTCCAAGTTAGTGCGGTATGTTATTCATCAGTGTCAATCTGATATTTTGCTATCCTATTCAATAGGAGTAATCATCTCTGCATATCAAGAGCAGCTTTTATTTTCCAAACTGTGTGCCTTCTTCCCCATCTGCTAGAGTGGATAATTAGTCAGCCATGTAGCTTTCCTTGATTCTGTACTTTCTGCAGTGCTTGGAATTTCTTTGGAATTACTTCAGCAGTGATTTCACTCATTTTTTTTTTTTTTTTTAAATGTTTGTTGTTTCTTTGGGAGTGGAAGCTTCTGTTTGATTTTTTAGATACTGTGAATATTTAATTTTGAAATTATATTGAAGCTTAAATCATTTAACTTTTCTGTGTGAGAAACAAGTATATATAGGAAATAAACTTCTTTGTGTTCTACATGCAAAATCTGTTTCTATTACTTCTGTGTGTTGTGCTTGTATCTTTAACTTGACTTTAGTGCTAAAGTCCTGGAATTGTAATCTCTTGGGTTTAGCTGGCACTGTGTATTGTTGCCTCTGTTAACTATTGTCAATGGAGATTGAAAAAAATCTTATTCTACTAAGCATGGAATCATTGTATGTGAACATTTTCACTTGATGCTGTTCAATTTCTCTGAAACTGGCAAAGCCAAAACTGTAGGAACTTTTCTTTATTTCTCTTATGCTTTGTCTCTTGTATTGAAAATTCCTCAGAAATGACAAAGTAAAATGACTACTGCTGACCTTTCTCTTTTCAGAGGCACTATGGATGAAAAACTAGTATTTGCAATAACATTGCAATTGAATGATTTCCTTGCCAGAATAGTACCGGTGCATTAGTCTCATGATATAGGCTGTAAACTTTCCAAACCCATACTGGCTAAGTGCAATTCCAGCAAAGGTGTTTCTGCACATCTCTTTGCAGGACATAGGTTCCAAGACAGTTTATCAGTGCGAGTGTAGGATCATTTGTATGAATGAAGCCATAATGTATCCATGTGTAGCTGAACTGCTAAATCATGAGGGAGCCCCAAACTGTGGAAATACTGGGGGGCGTTCTGCAAGAACCTGCTCAGCTCCATCCAGGCGTGGTAATTTCTGCTTACAATGGGCTTAGCACTAAGAGCTCTGCACTCTACTTCTCAGTTACAGATTTATCAGCATGTCTCTCCCTTCTCCTGCCCCACTCCCTAATTATTGAGAATGTCACCATCTTTCTTAGTAGCAGATAAATCAAGATTTAATTGTATATCAAAAGTTTTGGTTTAGATGCCATGTATGATCTAATGAACAGGCCTTCTTGCTTACCAAAGATTCAAGGTTAATCTTGAAAAGCTGGATGTCATGTGGGCAGAGGCAGAGAACGTGTCATGCAAAGATTTAGTTGAATAGGACAAAGATCTTGGGAATATTCAAAGCCTAGCGATGCTATCTGGTAAATCTTAGCAGTTTTGCAGGAGAAAGTTTTACTGTGCAAGATCTTGGAATTTATTTAGAAAACAAGAGCATTAGATGAACAAGCAGAAAGTCAAACTAAGATTTTACAGGCGACTACTTTATCAGTTACCATGTTTTACATATAAGACTAACTTTACTGCTGCTTACCTTCCTGAGGAGTTGAAAACAATGGTTTATAAATTAATTCTTCATATTTTTTTTTTCAATAGCTACACTACAGCTTTTTTCCTGTCATAATTGTTTTGGTGATTTTTGGCTTCAAATTTGAACAATACTAATCACAAATTCTTTAAGGAAAAAGTACAAATTTTAGGCTATAGAATTGGTATGTCCAACAAGTACTGTTTACATTAAACAATGTATTTTTCTTTTCTAGCACGGAAGAACATGGAGGTCTTTTAACGTTTTTCAGAAGCCTTTTATCTTATGCTGAGTGGTATGAACATCGTAGATGCACCTTCCAACACTTCAAGGTAAGGTCTCTCAAGCCTTTATATATCAGTATTATAGTTAGGTCTTTAAGTAGTTCATTAAGACAGAGCAATGGAGGTGAAATTAGCACTCTTCAGTGGAGTTAGGTGAATCTTAATTTTGTACGTTGTGGAGAAGAGAATATTAGCTTAAGATTTTTGTGTTGTGTTCAAGGGGCAATGCCCTTGATGGATATTTGTCTTGATTTTTACCATGCTATTGCTGCATTCCTCATATGTGGGGGAAAATAAGAATATCTGTGCCTTTTTGTGGGGGAGTAAGACAGTTTTTCCATTGGTATTACATTTCATTTTGAACAAAAAAAAAGGCAAAAGAAAAAATAAAAAGAAAACAACACTTGTAGTCTTTGGCATTTAAATGTTAGTTCTGAAGGACTGGATCTGTCGCTTGAAAATGTGGCAGCATGCGTTTGGATGACAGCACTTCCAGTTCTGAAATGTTTTGCTTGAATGGGAAATAAACTTGTTCCTCTCTCTGATCTGGAACATAGTATTTGAACTTAGTTTTAAATTACTGTTATTTGGCTTGTTTGCTTTGTCTTTGTACTGGTTTTAGGATAAACAACTATTCCTTGGCGTAAAAATACTGTAGTCTCATAGACACAGAACATCTTCTATGATGATTAATGTTAGAGAAGGATGTTTAGATGCTTAATTCTGTGGGTTTTTTAGTTCAGTTTTATTTAGCTCAAGCACTTACTGTCTTTAAACTCAGCATCATCTTTGCTTTTCAACTGTCCTATGAAGTGGGAACTGCTTTGTTTCCTATTTTTTTGTCTTTTAGGCCTTTGGGTTCTATGCTAGATTGATCAATTTCTATTATCAATCAACCAGATTAAAGAAAAAAGTACTGATTTCTGATAATGTTAAAAACAAAACTAAAACCCAACCAACCCTGTCCTCAGCTACGCAGTAAACTTTCTAATCCTGCTTGTTGTCATATAAGGACTTTTCTTTAATCAATCCATAGAGACGTTAGAGCACCAAGGGCTTTATGGTGTGGGTTTTTTGATGGGTTTTTTTCCAACTTCGCTTGATGTTTTCTGATCCCTAGATGAGCCTCATGACAGCAGTCACTGTGGTTCCTGGGACAGTGATTCAGTGAACTGTTATAAATATTTCTCATTTTAAAATTCAGTACAAAAGTGCAAGAATAGAAAGGAGAGGTGATTTTTAAATTGTTGTGTGTATCTTAAGCAATTTTTAAAAGTATTTGTTCAGGCATTGAGTGTAAACAATGAAGGGATATATTCATTGTTGAAAAACATGTGAAGAGAAATTCACTGAAGACGTATCACAAGTTTGTCGACATAAAAAATATTCTTTCTAAAGGTATTTTTCTTTCCATGGACAAAGATGCTGTTGAAAAAGGCAAACCAATTTGGGAGAATTCTTATCAAATATGACTGACTATGGACTTATGAAGAGTTTTTTAGGCCTTCTTATTTCTGCTAGCATTAGTAATAATTTCATATATAAATAGAAGACTTTCTGAGGTGAGAGAATTAATAAAGGGTTCAAAGATCAAATCTGACAATTCAAATAACCAGATTGCTAAGGAGAGTGTGTATTTGTAACTTAATATTTCTGTAGCAATTTCTGTGAAAGCAACCAGAAATACGCTTTTAACATTTGCATAAAACAAGTGAAGAGTCTTATCCTGTTAGTATTCACACTCGGACAACATTAAAAAATGAGTCTGTAAGTTTTGTTGTATTTTTTCCTACCTGCTTGCTAGGCCTCAAGTATATAGGCAGGTAACTGTACACAGCATTGAAGAGAAGCCTCTCTGAGGTGGGGTTCTGTGTTTTTAGCTTTTTCTATTATTTTGTTATTTAAAAGATAATTACCCAGGCTGTGAAGTAGAAATAGACAGCATTTCTAATAGTTTTCTCACAGTGTAGTGTAAAAACAGGAAAGGTAGGTTATTTTTTCTTTTCTGATAGTTTTGGTACTTGGGAAGAAAGGAATAATATAGAAGTGATTGAATACTTCAAATAATAGTGAATGTTTGAGATTAATGACAATCGGAAGTTTCAAGGAAAGTTGGACAGCACTGTATTTCTAAAAAATTGACAGTCACAAATGGCAGTTTTGTAAGGAGAGTTTCCCCTGTTAACAAGAGTAATCATGGGATGGATAACTCCAATTAAGCAATTTAAAATATACATTAATCTAGGAAAGCGGGCTTTCCTAGAAAGCAGGGGCAGGTTTAGGTTGGCATGAGTAGATCAATGTTCAGTTGTAAGCATTTTGTGCTCTGCATTATAGACTCCTTGGCATTGCACTTAAGCAGTTGTAGTTTTTTACTGGAACAGGTTAGTCTACAGCTTGCATGCTTCACACACACATGCGCGCACTCAAGAGTTGAGCATACTGTTACTACGCTCTGCTGCTGCTGTATTGAAAAAAAAATCTACAAGGTAGTGTTTTGAATAGCTTTTGAAGGGGTGAGTGAAGTGTCCCACAGGTCAATGTATGGCATTACTTGTATGGCAGGTCTTACTGTATTCTCATGATAAATACTATGTCTGCAAAATGGATTTACACCTGCAAATAATTTTCTGATCCAGACACCCTCTTAGTCTGCTATGAGGCTGAACAGCTGAAGCACGTTGGGATCGCTGGAAGAGCAGATTGTTGAAGCCAATACTGATAAACAAGAAAAAATTCAAGTTTTATTGGAAATACAGAACAAAAATGAGTGATAGGAAAAAAATAGAATGGTGTACATTCAGCTTGATATTAGTACTAGTCACACAAATAGAAGGAAAAAAATCCTACGTACTGAAGCCCTTCTCACTTAATGTTTTGATGAGTTAACTTGCTATGAATGGGGAAAGTAAATTAAAACATATCACATAATTTATTGCCTGCATGAGGCTTTCAGAAGGTACCAGTTGTCTGTTTTGGTTTGCTCACAAAATATTAAGAGCATTAATTAGTGTTACTGTTGATATTTAGTACTCTTTCAAAAATATGTACAACATTTTAATGTATAATTAATAATGTGGTAGCGGTTAGACTTTAAAGTGTTTAGGTGTGTGTATATATTACATAAATGTGCATATAGTTGTGTTATACACATAATTGTTTTCATAGGGAGAGTTTTGTTGATATTTACTGATCCTATTAATACTGGAAAGAGCTTTTTTTAGTAGTAATGATCTGTGGTGAGAATAAGATCAGAGGCCGCTGCTTATGTAACATTACTACACTTACACTTCTGGCTGTGTTTTCTCTGCCTTAGGCATTTATCAGAAGAGGAATGAGAGAATTAGTGACTTTTATTTTTTTCCTAGCGTAAATTTGGCTTGAAGTTGGAATGCTTTGGGATTACTTTTTACCTTGCTGAAAACTTGGAAACATACAGCTTTATGACTTACATGGGAAAATGAAAACCAAGTATTATTCTCACTGTCAGACTTGGTTTTGTTCTCAGTTGTGTTAGGACAATGGAATTTCTTTCTTGTTATACCACATAAGTTAAAATGGAAAATATTGGGGATTGCTAAGTCTTTCTTGGGTGAAGGGTTCAGGGCAAAAATATTTTTGTCCTGCATTTCATAATTGCATCCTCTTTCCAGAAAGATGAGCCCACAGTTGATGCTTGACACAGTCACTTAGACAGTGACTAGAAGTCACTTAGGTCTCAAAACGCGTAGTGGCAGAGCATCAGTATGTTCAGATTTAAGTGTGTACTTAATTCCCTGTAGCACAAACACTAACAAGTCAAGGCTTAGCTAATAAGATAGACAAAACTAATAAAGAATATCTTGTAAAATCAGTATTCTAGATGTAGTGATACATCATCATGCATTTGATGCTTAACTATTTCTACAAATTAGGAATCTATACTAGCTTCAAAATTAGTACAAGGTTGATCTGGTAATAGTAACTAGCACACTTCAGGCATTCATTTGTCTGAAGAGTTTATGCCTGTGGTAGGTATTTGAGGGGAGAAACTGAAAATGGTATGTCAGAAATGTACAGTTGTGTAATTAAAAATATTGTGTCCTGAATAAGTCCTGTCTAGTTTTAGGTGAACTGACGGTTGAGGCCTGCACATATCAGTTTGTGGTTTTAATACGCTGCATAGTTCACAGTAGTTGAGTGAAATGATGCTAGTTTAATTTTCTGGAAATTAACTCTATTTTTGGATTAATGGTAGAATCAACTTTTCTTTTTAATTTAAAGATCTGATTTGATTTTTCCCTAATGAGTGAAAGTATTGTTTTAGAAGAGTACTTCTGTTTCTTTGAGCTGACACCTAGCTGAAATCTTACATATTTACAGACAAAAATACTAATTCAGCTTTGCTGTTAATTACACTTATCACATTTCCTTGTTCCACTGCTTTTTCTTAACAAGGCTTGGTCTACATCATCTGTTAATAGCAAAGATACTTGGAGTTGTACTGTGCTGTACTTTGACCATTGTATTAAAATGGGAAGCTGGTGTTGCAGAAATTACTCTTGTGAGTACAGCTGAGCAAAATTTATATATTTCATTTAAAAATACCTTGTGTAAAAGTAAAACGCATATATATATATATGCACACACACTCTTAGATTATTTTGAAAGCAAAATAGTAGGAGGAGATGTAACACATCTTTGAAAAGTTCCACTTGCTACGCTGCTTGCTAATCCTAAATAGGCATTACTCTCATTTTCCACAAAACACGTTCTTAAGGAAGCTTTAGTAAGTTAAGCTTTGAGAAGTTCTATTCCTAAACATGACTTTCTTTTGTATGTAACTTCATTCAGTACGCTTCTGAAGGTCAAGTGAAAAAGTTTCATTTCACTTAAAGAAGTGGGATTGGAATTAAGATCTATTTTTCCTCTGTGGCTTGCTCAAACAATGTTTTGTGTTTATTTGAAAGTAAAATGTAGTAGTTGTTCTAGGTACAGGTAAAGAATGTGGAGAAGCAGTTACCTATGTGATTTTTACCTACACATAAAGAATATGTGGTGAAATAAAAGTTGAGAAGGTGTGTGTGCATATATGTATTTTTACACTTTCATTAACAGAAAAGGTTCTGAAAGCGTGGGTGACATTGTAACTACTCTAAATAAAGTGGCTGTTTTGAAATAGTTATCGCAAAGGAGAACCACATTTCAACATAGTAAAAATTTCTGGGTAAGCAGGGAAAATGGCATTAGTAAGGGACAGGATATAAATGTGTAAACAGAGTAAAAAGAACGTTTGCCTGTTACCATGTTTCAGTTTTGGCATGTATAATTACACAAGTAGTGGCTAGTAGTATGTTCCTACAGGCAGTGTTCTCAAGCAGGAAAAAGCATTAACATGCTTTGCCAAGAGGATCGGATTGCCTTCCATCCTTATCTCATCCATATGTGTGCGGATGTAACGTGTGTTATTAGATTTGCAGAATGTGTCATCGGTGACTGTAGTAATATTGTTGTACTGCAAAACAAAACAATTTTTTATAAATAAACACACACACATATATTCACATGCCCATATATGTTGAAGAATTTTCAACCTTTAATTTTATTCCTCTTGCCCTCCCATTTAATTGTCATTGGGATTGATTTGTGTGTACTATAGATACGTAGGAATTGAGTCTCTTCAAACCAATCAATGAGCTGATAAGCAGTTTGAGGTTGTTATTGATGTTTGAAATGTATTGTTGATAAAAGATTATTGCTTATTTTTACCACTTCCTATCCTTGATGTACAGAAACTAATGAGAAATTCTTGCACAGTAAATAGCTAACAACCAACATCTGAACACCAAATGGTTGTGGCCATTCAGATTAGAGGTAAATTGTTTTATCTGGAGGAGCATTAGACAACTGTAGCACAACTACAGTGTGACCTGTTTTAAAAGACAGTGGGTTTGGTTTGAAATCTGTAACTAATTAGGCTATTGGTAATAGAATGTTAAGGGAATACTTTAAAAATACCTGCAGATGAAGAATACGCAGACTTTCCGGTAAGTTAAGGGGAACAGATTCCAGTGCGTTATGTCCTAAGTAGAGGTAGGCCAAATTTGTCAGCTTCTAATAGAAAGAAAGAGGGATTATTAATGCTAATACTACTTACTTGAGGTTAAATAACTTGTGCCTGTTGCAAGATATCAGTATTTTTTTCTGATCACATAGAAAGCCTGTAAAGTGCCCAACATGAAATACTCTTTTGCTGTGAATGTTGAATTCTATTGTATCCAGAAACTCATACAACAGGCCGATGTTTTGCAAATTTCAGTGTTAGTTTATTGATTATAAAACTTGAGACTGCTATAAAGCTATATCCTTGTTTGTTAGTATTTATGTGGTCCTCAGGACTGTATTTGAGCCATCCTTTTTTGAATTGAGTGTTTCTTTGCATGCAAGAGAAAGAAAGTAGATAAGATATTTCATAGAATTTTTTTTATATGAATGACATGAGAGTGAGTGCACAAAGGACTGTTATTCCAAAGTGCCTTCAAAACAAAAGCTGGAAAGCTTCTTCATTGTAGTTTTTCTTAGATTACAAAAATACGGGAAAAAGTCATTTGGTGGTACACTGGATAGTCTCGTTACTAATTTTATTTACTTTGGCTTTCTAAATTACTGTCTTTTACTTACCTTGAAAGCATTTGCTTTGATTCCTCTGCTCTTGATTCTATTTTGGTTTGCATTAAATGTTGTTAGTTTGGGAGGTAGAACAGGAAGTTTTAGAAGTCGATTTTCAGCAAGAGAAAGTTCTTCCAATAACAAAAGCTTTGAAAAGGCTCCATCTTCTATTTCTTCTATCCTATTTCCACTAAAATCAATTCTTCTCAAGGTAGCTTTACACAAAAGGAATTAAAATATAAATATTGAATTTATAATTAAGTGATGTGAAACATGTATGGTTGTGCATATTAAATGTTACACTGTTGGCTGCACCATTCTAATTGTGATCTACAAATGTAAATACTGATAAAAATCCAGATTTGGCTTTCCTCATGATCTTAAATTAAAAAAAAAAGAAAAATACTTTGGATCCTTCCTTTTTCTTAGAGACAGCATGATTTCAGATATTCATAGAATTTGTCATGTTGCAGAGTTAAGATAGCTGGGAGAGATGTCCCTGGAGCATTTGAAGGAAGAATAACACCTGGTTGCTTAAGACTGGCTGAGATGCAGGGTTAAATTTTATTTTTAGCAAACTGCTCTTTCTCTGATTGTGTGGGAATAAAGATGGATGTGGAGGCCAAAATGGGTTGGAGATTAGGAAAAATTTTTTCAATGAAAGGGTTGTCAAGCACTGAGACGGGCTGCCCAGGGAAGGGGTTGAGTCCCCATCACTGGAGGTATTTAAAAGACGGATGGATGAGGTGCTTAGGGACATGGTTTAGTGATGGGATGGCAGGGTTAGGTTAATGGTTGGACTTGATCTTAAAGGTCTTTTTCAACCTAAACAATTCTTTGATTCCATATTGCCATCAGGCTTCCAGTTCTAATACAGGCATTGCATTAAATAAGTAATACACATAATGAAATCTAGCAATGTATAGAATACATCTTATTTTGTTAGTCTTGGCATACTCTTAAGGGACAGCAACTTCAAATATACTACCGGGTAAATGGAAATTAAAATTTGAACATTACTTACTGATGTCAGCAAAATCTGAGACTGCTATCCTTTTTATTTTGTTAAACCGTGCATAAAGGTATGCTGTTTCCTTTGGCAGTGGGGGTACAGCTTCGATGTCTATTTCCTCGCAGTACACTGATCCGCTTAAACACACACAGAGCAGACAAGTAGGTAAATCTGAAAGCAAATTATTTTGAGTAGACAGTTAGAAGTTTTTCAACTAACTTAAGCTTGAATATTCAAAATAGGATTTTTTCTAGTATCTCTTTAAGGCTTCACATCATTAGATTTTTTTAAAAAAAATTCTATCCACATCCAGTTCTGAAAAGATTTAATATTCTGAACTTTGAGTTTTGTATTCTTTTTATTGTGCATAATTTCCCCGTGTAAATTCTCTGTTTTTATCTGATCATGTCTTGAAATGCTATTAATCAATCTTAATTCAGTTTCATTCTTTAATTGGCTTAGAGTGTTGTGGCTATGGCAACTGCAACTCTGTGGCCATGTTGAATGTAATCTCTAGAACCGTTCTTCTGAAAAGAGAAACCCATGCTGGAGGTGCATCTGGCAGCGCATGTGTTCGATACTGCAATTGCACTGGAACATTTCTGGCAGGGTCAGGTCTACTCTGTGTTACCCCTAGCTACTATTTTGTCTAATCCTTTTTATAAAAACTCCAGCAATGATGGTCATATTGATGATCATATTGATCAATGATTGCTTTAGGCAAGCTGTTCCTGTTTTTTGCTGAGTTGTTTTTATAGCTGTTATTTTAAGTAGTGAGAGAAGCTCTGTATCTTTTAAAATGCAGTTTAAGCCCATTATGGCTTGTCCTGTTCCTCATAGATATTAGTAGAGTCATTAATCCTGTATGACAGGAATATTAAAATACACATAACTAATAAGTCTTTCAATCCTGTTTCCTCACCACTGCTATCTGCTCTGCTGTGTTTTCTGTATTGCAGGATTTTTGTTTAGCTTCCAAACTGGACTGTAGTAGAGAGTACTAGCATCATATTGCTAGGTAGTTTGTTATCCTACATAGCAAAATAGGATCTTCTGCAACCAGTGAGAGTTACAGAAGTAGCCAGTTGATACTGGGAAGCCAACCCAGTATGTATAATGTGAGTAGTTCTTTTTTTTTTTTTTTTCTTACAGAAGTACTGCAGAGAATGGAATAGAGATTTTGAGCTTTAGCTTTGTGAATATTACCATCTGTTAGACTTCAGACTTCTGCCCCATTTGCCTTTTTTGCTGTCGTGAGCTAGAGTGTACGAAACAGAAAATGATTGTAAAACAATGTTGTTGCTGTTTAAAAGGCAACAGTTTTAATGCTTGTCTGTGGCTAGAAGCTCTGGTGTTCTTACACATTTGTTCCGGTTTTGATGGGGGCTTGTTGATAGATGCTGTTTGGCAATAATTAACCTCGATTAATACTTTGGTGGAGATTGATGCTCCAGTGGTCTTGCTGAATCATCAATTGGTTTTGCAAGTTTAGATCATGATACACCTGAAACGCGTATCTCTTTCAATGCTCTGTTTGGCAGACATAGCTCCTTTCACATTTAGAAATCATTGTGGCTTGTTAGGAGGAAACTGGACAATACACCTGAGAGCCTGTAGGAAACTTAGGCTAGTGAAGAATGTTCCTGATGTAGTTTAACCATTGACTTCCTTGATCATCAAATGTAAACTGTAAGAGTAGCCAGTTCTTTGAAGAAATCTATTTAAGTAATTTAAGCACATAATATTTCATCATTACTTGGTTAAACTGTGGAACTTATTGGGGTGTGTATTTTGTTTTTCTTGATTGTCTTGCCTAACTTATTTAACTTGGATACATCTCTATAGCAAATATGACTGGGTTAGTCTGTAGAGATTCTTATAAGCTGTGCTCTGTGTATTCAGTTTTCCTGAGGATTCTTTAAATTTTTTTCTGCCTGCTCCATCAGAAGTTAGAAGACTTTCCACAGAAGATATGAAAGATATTAATAAATGAAAAGATTAATTCTATATCCCTTGTCACCCATTACATATTAAATTTTCATATTACAATATGTTCTTTTGAAGAGCTTAAATGCTACAGTATTCATATCAGTTAACTTACTTGTATCCTTTGTTGGTGGTACATTGTGTTCGCTTTCATCCCCTTGCAGTCTTAGGGAAGTGTCAAGAGAAACATTTGTTCCATCCTTTGTGTTGAGAGCAAATGTTATTTTAAAAAACAAACAGGAAACAAAAAACCAGAGTATTACAAGGATCTGAAATAGCAGGTCTTTTAAAAATGAGCTTCCTACAACAAACCTTCTTATGACACTTAATTTTTAAAATACCCTTACATGCTGGATGGCTAATGTGATATATTATCCTTTTTGTAGATGAGCTCTTTACTTTGAAAGGCAAGAAGGGAAGGTGGTGCTGCTAGTGTTCTTTAGAAAAGAACAGTAGACACAAAATAAAAATAGAGAGAAAATACAGACTTGTGTGGTGTGGAAGGAATACATAAGCAATGGGTATCTAAAAAAACCTGGAGTTCTAGAGATAGATTTTGCATGTCATGCAAAACTTGATAGGATTCTTGTGAATGTAAGTTGTATTTTTTATTTTATCCAAATAATCTCAGTAAAATAACATTTACTTGTATTTAAGTTTAGTCAGAATTCCCTGTTGAGGTAGTCATTGCATCTTTTCAATTGCAAGGCAACTTAGTTTAGAAACATGTTCCTTTCAAGTATTGGCAGAAATTGAGCAATTCATTTCCATTAGCTGTACCCAAGTCTGTTTTAACACCTGGGCTGCTAACATAAAGGGCCTTCTGTGGTGCAGGAAATGATAGTCAAGTTTTCATTGAATACCGTAGGAAATTTAGAGAATTACATACTATTTCTAGAATTATAGTATACATACAGTGGGTTATGCTATGATTTGCATGTATTAAAGTAAAGGGGATTTTTAGGTTGACTGTGGCAATTGTGCTTGACTAGCATAATTTGTTGTCTTTTTTGATGGGGAATAGCTGTAGAACAGAGTAAGACAATAAGCTTCTTGGTCTGCGCTGCTATTGAAGACACATGGGGAAAAGTATGTTATCGGGTATGGAAGATGTTTTTCTTTAGATGTGCTTAAGGATTAGGCCCTGGCAGAAGTACGGTCCCCAGTTGAAGAGAGCTTCTTACACACTGCCAGTGCTCACAAGTGAACAGAATTTTTTTATTATTTTATTTTTTTAATTCTTTCCCACTTGCCCCCATTCAGGCATGTAGCACATAGATAGTTCATCTACTAGAACAATGTGAAGGTAACACTATCTGTCAAGTTACTATTGAAACTAATTTTGTTTTATTTAGTATTTGGTTGCTTGCATATATTTTACTGCGGGGAAGTCTTGCGTTCTGCAAAACAAAACTCAAGCTTGTCAAAAGTCTGAGAAACAAATTATCTTGGCCAGCCTCTCTCATTTTGACCCCTCTTTTAGCCTGTGAGTCATCTATCCCTTGGCTCTTTCCTGCGTCTGTCTATGGCTCTTTATTGCCTGCAGTTTTTGTGTAAAGTCTGGGGTAGGTTGGTTTGTTCTGGTAAGGCTTTTATACCTGAGTTAGAATGCTGGTGACAGTTTAGCAGTTGTAGCATGAAACTTCTGTGTAGGATAAGAACTTTTGCAGTGTTGGGTATGGAGAAGCTGGAGGGTGTGAGCTGAACAGTTAGACTCAAATGAGCAGCAAATCTTACAGAAGGTTTCTGCAAAAATGTTTAGCCTGCATAGATACGTTGATTAGGCATGTGAAGACAGGGTCCTTGACTTAGGTACCCTTGCCAGTAGAGACTTTTGTGTAGATGGATTTAAAATAGAACAACTGCAGTTCTGTTGTAGCATGTTTGGCTCATAAGGGACTTTTTTAACATGCTTGTAGGAAAACCATGTTTGCTGACATAGCATATCTGTACCAGGTATAGATTTCTAGTACAGTATCCTACTGGAGGTGTGATTTATGAAAAAGTATGTGTGTGAGTTCTTTGCAGAATGCAGTGTGCAACTAATTTATGCAAGTGGGAAATGTCAACAAAACCCAAAACTGATTATTTGCAGAATGCGGTTAAATCCACAAAATTAAACAACAGATTCTCCCCCCAAGCAATATATTGGAGATATTTCCCAGTCAGCTATAAAAATTCCTAACCATGGAATATCAGTGCAGAAGACTGTTTGGATTATAATCACAGAAAGTTCATTACTTGCATATGTAGGGAATGCACTGAAGGAATATTGGCCTCCTTACATACTTAAATTGCACCTGCCTCTTGCACTTTATTCCACAGACATGAGTTACATACAAAACCACATTAACATTCATCTTTATTACACCAAAGGTCTATAAAACTGATAGTTTATATTCAATGGACTGAATTAGTCCAGATATGAGATGGTCTCTAATTGGATGGCTCTGTTCTGCTGTGGCAATTAAGATTTCCTGGTTTTAAGCTTCTAATATTTTCATTCTGGACTGGGGTGGCTGTGGTTTCAAATAATAATCATTGTAATAAATTTTGCTTGGCTGAACTTTTCCTTAGTAGTAGACAAAGGTTTGCTTCATTCTTTTGACTGCTAACACAAATAGATTTTTTTTTTTTTTCCCCCTGGTGTTTTCACTAAAAATTTTTTTTCTAACTGTGTGTTCAAGCAGACAGTAAAGAGTTAAATTTGTCATGCAAGATAGACAGATTTCTGACTGGGCATGTTTGAGGAAATTGTTGGCATGTATTTCACTTACAGTTAACACTTGAAATATTCTGGGAGCTAGAATTTGTGGAGTAAATGAATAGAAGATTTGTTTGCACATCCTATGGTTTAAATTGGGAACACTGGAACTTGTATAGATGTATTTGTTGCACATAAGGAACTAATTTATTATTTTGCAATGAAAACATGTAATTGGAGAACTGACCTGATGGAAATAATGACCGACTGCATTCCTAGAATTATCCTAAGCAGAACTGTTGGCCTTTAGAAGACCTCTAGTTTATAGCACTGCCAGTATGGACTTTGATTAGTCTGTGGCATATCCGTTGGCAACGTGTCCTTGTAGGTATACTCCTTATTGTTCTTTTTACTGAAACCTTAGTGTCTTCTTATTAGGATGATTTTAGTAACGAATGTCATCTGATGCTGTGCCTAACTACTTAATGTTAATGTTTTTAGTATTTTTTTAAAAAACTTACTCAGTTGTGAGTGGATAGCAACCTACTAGTTAAGAATTAGTTAACAGTTGGGAAAATATTAAAAAGGCATACAGAAGTGTTTTTTCTGTATACGTGCTGCAACTTTTTACTTATACTAATTATCTTTCGCTGTCATCTTTTTTCTTGTTTATCAGACTAAGTTGTTATAACAAGCGCAGTTAATATTAATGAAAACTCTCTTGAATGTATTAATACTTGGTCGTTACTGCTTTGTTTGAATATGTGGTATTTTTCTTGGCAACTAGTATTGGGGCGATCATTGTTAGTTTTTCTTCCGTCTGCCTGATCAATGTTGTATCTTGATGTGTATTGTTTAGGTCCTGGCAGAGGCAGTCTGAACAGAGGTGTGAGGTTTTTAGCTGTCCCTGTCAGCTGAGGCTGTTGCACTTCATTTAACTCTCCTCTGGTTTTGTGTCTTCTGCTTAAGTGTTTAAATTAAAAGGCATGGATGTGGAGCACATAGGGAAAAAAAGTTCAGAATTGACCGTTTGGGGGTGCTGGTGAGTGCCATGAGGTATAGTCTTTATTGCTACCTTTAAGACTGTCAAAGTGTTAATGTAGGTGACTACCGCAGGACTGGACGTTCCCTGGTAGTTCAGGACTGCTAAACTGTTGAGGTGCAAAAAACCCCAAACAACCCACCCCTGAAAAACCAAGGCAAAAATCTTGATAGCTTGGTAAGTCAAGAGAGAAATTGTGATATATGCTGGCAGGTTGTGTCCAATAAAAAGTACCGTTTCAAGTATTACTTTAATATTAAAAAAAATCCTAAATAAAATCACTCCCCTTTTTTTTTTTTAAACAAACTTACTGTCTTAATACAATGTTACTCAAACTATTGAGCTAGTATGCTAGTATATCCTGTTCTTGAAACTCTTATAATAGTAGGCACGTAACTACAGCTTCGGTCTTATTTGTGAAAGCCTGTCTTTTTGTGGGTTTCTCAAACTGTAGCATGGGTAGTATTTTTGTGGTTTTAATTTGTGCCTTTCACTATGTCTGAAACACAGTTGTACGTTTCACTATTATAAGACTTTTTCATAAAACTTGCATACATGCATGTAACACCTTATTCATATAATGCTTAGCAGTTAAAAATATTAAACTGATAATATAAATAAAATACCTTTCTTATATCCTTGGATTGCATTTCATAATCTTGTTGCATCAGGCTTCCCATGGTAACATCTGTATCATACTCATAAAACTGGAGTGATTCTTGCTGTATAGGTGGTGCTGAATTTACCAAAGGTACAAACACAAACAAAAAAAAAGTAGTCTGCAAAGGCTTCATTCTTGCATGGAACAATGTATCTGGCTTTCAGTGAGCTGGTGGAGATCTGCTCATGTGTGACTATGGAGAATACTTCCTTTGTGACTGGAAATGAAAATGCAATCCGTCAAAACAATATTTAAAGCCTAGAGGACTAGTTGGCAGGGGTTTCTAACGCATAAGGAAAATGGAACAACTTTTAACTCTTGATATCCTTTAATTAGACTCCAGCATTATCACAACTCTTCTTAACAGGAAAAGAAACTGTGAAATAATAAACAATGTTTTCCAACTAATAAGGAAAATATTATCTTACTTGCATTTGCTTGTTTCCCAGTGTGTTATTTTTGTTAATAGGAAGAGGATTTTGTAAAACATTTCATGAAACATTTGGCATGTATGTAGCTGAACTAATTAAAAAGAGAGGTTCAAATGCATTTTTCTCGGTTGTCAAAATAATGATTTTCAAATATAAGTACTCTTCAGCAGCAATCTCTCATTGTCTTTGTCTTTACATTTGAAAGTAAATACGAGGAGATAACACCCCCTGAGTTCTTACAGGTTGTACACTTTTCAGGCAGGGGGAGGAGGCTACAAACATAATCTTTAAAACATTTTAAATACACACAATCACTTTTAAAATACTTTACACAGCATTTTTTCCTGTGTACTGTAATTGTTTTATTTAAGCTTTAGGTTAATATACTTTTAGGAAAAAAAGTCCACCTACCGTTTTAGCACTGTTCTTCTGTGATTGTCATAAAACCAGATATCCTTATCTATATGTTAACTTTACTCTCTTGTTAATCCATTTTAGGTTAGGAATTACATCCAAGTTGTTGAAATGAATACTCTTTCAAAGTTTGACAGTCTTTAAAGTGCTTTCCATGG